TCGTGTGTGTACGTGTTTGCTGCCGAACCTGTTGAAGATCACTTAGAGGTCACAAGGGAGAAAGATTTTGATGAAGGCAAACAAATTAATTAAGGATCTTAGTTAATGAGGCTAAGTGTGTGTGTGTGATCTTCGCTTTAAATAGGGCTTTTGTGTTTCGTGTCTAGTATCTTGTCGGACGGAGAAGATCTTAGTTTAGATTTTGACTTTGATGACCCGATGGAGAAGGACGAAAATGCCCTTGGTGAAAGCTAAACTAGAAAGGAAGAGAAGAAGATGATCAAGTTTGTGAAGCAATGTAGGTACACAAAAGTTGCTGCAACTAATCCATATGTTGACAAAAGGCAGTTTGTAAAGCCTTTTAATTAAACGATAAATGTACAAAGGAAAATCAATTAAGTATCATGTCATGAATATGTAAATACTCAAAGAAATATATCCGCTAAAATATTGTGTTTTTTTAAAAAAGATATTGGCTTAGCTAGGAGATATATCATGTAATTTACATGAAGAATTGGTATAAGAAATACTCGATTTGAACGTTTAAATATCCAAGTATAGTAGTGCTTACTTAAAACAAAGATAATTTACGTTCTGTACGTGTAGAATAGAGTATTCTCAGCTGCTGGCTACAAAAAAATGAAAATATTATGTGTTTTAATCCATAGTTTCTAGGCACATACAAAATTTTGTAAAAATATTATCTTAGCCCCTTAGGTATAAAATTTAAATGAGGGGTTAGACTGAAGTAAATTATATTAGCATTTCAAAAACATTATAAATTAAGAGAATTTTCTCATTTTTGAAATCTTTTAAAAAATGCGACTAATATTATATTATTTATTCAAAATATTATTTATATTTGGATTAACTATGTTATGTTAGGGTTTAATTTTAGTTTGAGAGTTTAGGGTTTAATGTTTAATTTTTTTTTAATTTGTAATATTTTTAAAAAGAGAAATTTCAAAAAATGCCACTTTTTAAGTATCACTTTACAAAAATATCACATTTTTGAAATCTTTACAAAAATACCACTTTTTAAAAAT